GGTGGTGGGTGGTGGGTGGTGGGTAATGGTGGTGGTGATGGTGGTGGGGGTGGGTGGTGGGTGGAGGTGGTGGAGGCGGAAGACGGTGGTGGAAAATGGTGGCGGGTGGTGGGGGGTGGTGGCGGAAGACGGTGGTAGAAAATGGTGGCGGGTGGGGACTAGTGTTGGGTGGTAAAAAAAAAAAAAATCAAAACTCAAAACGGAAACACATTTTTTGTGTTTTCATTTTTTGGTCAAATTTATAAACTGAGACCACTGATTTATAAATCAAAAATTTTACCAAACAAGTTTTTATTTGAGTTTTTTAAATTTTTGTAAATATAAACAGAAAACTGAAAACGTAAGTGTTACCAAACGGCACCAAACGCGTTTGTAGTTTATGTTTTTCTAAAAATAAACAAAAAATAAACAAAAACTAATTTATAAAATTTTTGTAAATAAAAACTGAAAACGCAAACATTACCAAACACACACGTAGAGTTGCATCCCCATAATTTTTGACTTGCACCCCATCATATAATGAGTTGCACTTCTAATATTTTTGTAATTTTTTTCCCCTCCATTGTGCTTTGATTGGCTCATTTTTTTATTTTTATTTTTTACTTTTCAATTTTTTAATCACTTTTTAATTAAAATCTTAACTTACCAAATATATAGTATATGAGAAGTGTTTGTTACCCGTCCTTATAACATATCAATTATGGCCTTATCAATTAAATTTTTTTAATATTGTTAAATTATAAATTATACATTACAAATTTAAAATTATATATTAAATAAAAATTATAAATTATAAGGGTAAAATAGTCATTTGAACATTTATTCTTATCCAGTCCGTCTAACTAAATATTGGATTCACTAAAAATAATTATTTTCAGAAATTTAATCTCATGAAAAAATAAATACGGGATACACATCAAATCCAACAAAATAGTCCAGAAAATTCACAATCCTAAAATTCAAATCCAATAAATTCTATATCCCCTTATCCAGTTCGTCCAATCAAACACACCTATAATAAATTACACTTAGGCCTCGTTTGGGAACAGGCTAATTTAGTAACTTTTTGGTTATTTGACTAAAAAAGTAGGTAAAAAAAACTTATAAGTTTGGGATAATTTTTTAGCTAATTACGAAAAAATGTACAAAAAGTAGAGAGAAAAGAGAATTTTTAAATTTTTAGTATGAATTATTAACTTTTTAACTAAAAAAATAATTTTTTAACTTTTTAAGTAAAAAGATAAGTCCCCAAAACGGGGCCAATATCAATTCTATAATCCAAACAAACGGCCCATAAGTAATTTTTCTAAACGCTACGTATATATAGAGTGAGAATCCCAATTTGGGGAGAGAGAGAGAGAGAGGGCTACGCAAGCGCGCGCGCTCGAAATTGGATTTTCAGGTCTTTTTGAATTTTTTAGGGTTTTGGCTCCAATTTTTTTTCGGTTCTAAGGTTTAGTATTTGTTCCCTCGAATTCCAATTTTTCTGTCAATCACAATTTTCCAATCTCCCTCTCTCTCTCTCTGAGGTTTTTTTACCAATTCAATCTTAGATTCGAATTTTAGGGTTTTCAATTGATGAATTCGAATTCGTGATTGTTTTGTGAGATTTTTTTCGAAAACCAACGATGGTGAGAACCCAAGTGAAAGGCGAACCAAGTACTAGCAAAAGAAGGAACATAGCAGAGAATGATGTTGAAGCAAGTTCGAACGATTCTGAACCTGAACTTGTCGCCGAACGCAGAGTTCTTCGATCTCGATATCTCGCTGTTCAGACCCTAATTTCTGGTAATTAACTTTCCTCTTAACAAATTCTTAATTTTATTTGGTTATTATTATTGTTTTGTGTTTCGTGTTTCTGATTGTTGTTTGTTGTAGATGAGAGAGATGATTTATCAAGGTTTGATTCGGACAAGTTCAATTCGATCATCAATGAAGTGGAAAGCTTGCATCAATTAGGTATTTACAAAATTAGTCACATTAATATTTTAAAATCAGTATAGATAATATGTGCTTAGAAGTTTTGTATGTGTTTATTTATATGCATTAGGTTAGTTGGGTAAGTTGGGTTGCTTAACTAAGTAGTTGATTTCTATTGAACATGTTGCTGTGTTTGCTTCCTGCATTTTGTAAAGCCATCAAACTAAACAGTAGATTATTGGTATGTGGGTAAAAGGTATTATATTCTTGGGCAAATTACGATGGTAGTCCTTGTACTTTGGTACTTGTGTTATTTTAGTCCTTGTAATTTTAATTGATTTGATTTTGATTTTGATTTTGATTTTGAATTTGTGATTTTGTCTCAGTTTGATCTAATTGGTTACAAATCTTAGCATTTTTTTAATAAAAAAATATTCACATAAGTGTCATGGTCCTTGTGTCATTTTAGTCTATGTAATTTTAATTGAATCAATTTTGATCTTGAATTTATGATTTTGTCTCAGTTTGGTCCAATTGGTTACAACTCTTAGTATTTTTTTTAATAAAAAATATATACATAAGTGTCATATGCCATATTTTTAAAGGTAATATTATAAACTTATCAAACTCAGTGTGTTAACTTCAATTAATTTAGTGATAATTTTTCTTAAAAAGCACTACCAATATTATCAATTGGACTAAATTGACACAAAATTTAAAATTAATGGTCAAAATTGAGTTAATTGGAAGTGTGGGGACCAAAATGATACAAGGGGTAAAATATAGGGATCATCGGTGTAATTTGCCCTATATTCTTTATGGGTTTTTTAAATTTCTTAAATGGTGTTGTTCTTCAAGCAAGTTGATTCTAGCTTAATCATCTGAATTTATTATGTGTATGTGTTAGTCTGGTTATTGGTGGGCTGAAATCTACAAACAATATTGTTTTCTTGAATTTGGTTTTCAGTACAGAAACCTAGAGAACAAGTTGCAGATGCTGAAGCTCTGTTGAACATCACGAACACGTTGGTTACATCTGTTAAAGCACACAGTAAAGAGGGAATTACCCCTTCAGACTTTGTAAACTGTCTGCTCAGAGATTTTGGACGACAAGGTGGGGCAAGTACCAGCACAGAGGATGGTAGGAACTCTATAGCTTGGAAGGATGTTGGTCTAGCAGTTTCTCATGTTTTCATGAAGGCTCCTGGATGTTGCACCATGTATGTGTGTAGTGGTATCCTCGATTTTCTGTGATTGTAATGTTCAATTTTAGATTTGGATTTTCATGTGTTCCTCTGCATATTCTCTACAGGCTTGGACCTATGAATAACGAACTAAAGCAACGGAAGGTTGTTGTTCATAAAAAACGTGTGAGGCCAACAGAAAGTTCCCGGCCTGAAGAGGTAAGCAAGCTTTAACCAAAGTTCCTACATTTTTTTTCTTTTCTTTTTGATGAGAAGAAATATTTAGTACAAACATGCTGCTAAAAATAACATGCTCAGCATTATTCAAATAGGTAAGAAAGTGGATTAAACATAAGGCCTTGTTACTTTGGTAGAAAATGAATGGGGCAGAGGACTTGTGGTGCTCCGAAGTTTGCAATTTCTGGCTCACTGGAAAAGAACAAGACAATGGATTGCCACATTTTTTTTCTTTTTCATTTTAAAGGCATGCAATTAAAAGGAATCATATGAAAGGGTGATGAATAATCAATGCGTACTTAGTAGGACCTATTTCTGTGGTTTTTATCTTTTGGGACATTGTATTTTCATTTTTTTACTTTATTAGTAAGTTGTGGTTTACACTGATTTTGCTTCCAAAGACGAGGGGAATTCCAAAGTTTGTATTTTGTGGAAATATACTGCCTGTGCAAATTAGCTTTGAATAATTCTGTCTTATTTGGTTTTAATTAGAGTTATTACAGAGTCTGTTTGTCTCCACAGTTTGCTATGAGATTAGGTTTAACAATCCTTTTCTAGGATTCCTCACCCAAGGAGAAGGGTCCCATTGCTTGTATTTAAATGAAGTCATGCTATGTCTTGTTAAATTTTTTAATTGAGGTTGCTCCATGATCATCTATATTAGAACTGGAATATATTTGGTGAACTGTAACTCTGTCCTATTTTATTTTCTTGTCTTGTTTCTGTGATCCTGATCACGTTCATTCTTGTTTATTTATTTCTGTAATTTTGACCATTTATGAAAGCTTCTATCTTTTTGCAGCTTGAGGATACTGGTACCGAAGAGAAAACAGACACCGATAAGAATATGGCAACTATGTTTAAAATTTTAGGGAAAAATAGAAGGGTCAGGCTTGAAAGTTTAGTGTTGAACAGAAACTCCTTTGCACAAACAGTCGAAAATGTATTTGCTCTATCCTTTCTAGTCAAAGATGGGCGGGCTGAAATAACTGTGAATGGTAAAGGCTGGCATATAGTTTGTAAGTTTTCTTGCAATCCATCTTCATCTAGCTTTCATTTGTGCTTGCTGCTTCTGCATCTATTTGGACTAAATATGTTACTTTTTTTTTATGGCAGCACCAAGGAATGCTCCTGCTGCTAATGAAGTTGTCTCGGGGAAGGTTTCTTACGGCCACTTTGTTTTCAGATTTGACTTCAGAGATTGGAAGGTATCTGAACGTTAATGTAATTAGTTAAAGTCCATTACAACTTACTTTTTGCAAGTTCTTCTCTGGTGTAATTTCTCAATAAAAATACGTTATTATTTTGAGCATTCTTCATTTGAGTGGACCCAGAACTTGGGTTCCTTATGATACATGCATGGTGCTGCAAAACCATGTCTGGGTTTCAGCTCTTCAACAATTTCACCCAGTAATTTGTGATCATCAGTAGTAGCTGGGTAAATTTGAATGACATACAAACGAAAGTAAATAATGTAATATATTTTACAATTCCTGTTAAGTGATTGTAGATTTTCCAATTTCCCTAGCAATTTTCTGGCACACGATCTTCTCAACTGCAAGGCACGGGTACAAACAGACCTACTGTTTTGTGTTTACGTGTATTTGTACATGATGTATTCAAGAGAAATTAGTCGATTCTTGATTGTTGGGTTTTGTCAAAGTTTTAGATAATTTATTAAAAAATTTGTTACTTATTGATGTCACAGTTGATGATGGATTCCATTGGGGTTGGGGAAGAGCTGATGCCACACAGAAATCCGGAGAACACGATATATGATTCTCGAAGAGATCCAATACTTGAAAGAACTCAAACAACAGGACCGACAACTCCAATTAAAAAATTGTCTCGGAACCGTGGCCTGGTTCTGCAGGAGCAGTCAGTTGTGGAAGAGTCCCCTGAAAGCGATGACTCCGGAGCAAGAGCGGCTGCGATTCGGAAGGGCAAACGTAAACTTAGATGATGTGAGTACAGATGATGCAAGGCTTTTTTGGGTTCCAAACTTGTGTATTGCGCATTTAGGATGTGCTGATTAAGTGTGATTGTATTTTGCTCTGTATGTTGATGAAGATATGCCACTAGTTTCTGCTAGTTTTTAGGTTGGTTTCCAGTATATAAATTTGCAAATTCTAATTGGTACCGCTATCTTCTTTCTCCAGGTTTCTATATGGGGTTTTCTTAATTTTTATATCCTTCTCAATATTTGTACAGATTGTACTGTTTTGTCAGTATTTATACCTTTCTTCCTAACGTTGTGTTTAGTTTTGTTTGGTTTGAGAATTTGAGATGAGATTTTGAAAGGAAAAAAGAAAATATAAGTGAAATATGAATAAAATATATTTATATGAGTTGTGCTACGTAGCTCGAAAGAGAGGACTGTGACGAGCTACGACGGGTTGCGACGATTGGCCGATTGATTTGCAATCGATCGGCAGAGGAGGGCCCTCTCTCTCTCCATTCCCTCTCTCCATTTTTTTTTCTTTCTCTTTTATCTGTTTTGGGCTGTTCGTGGGGTAAAAATGGGGAGGAAAATCATTTTTCTATTTATATTTCATTTATTTTTATTTTTTTTCAAAATTTCAAAATCTTTCAACTAAACAATGCGTTAATCTTTTACACACACACAGAGGCTCCAGTTGGAAGAAAATTTATTTTTGCCAGACTATACATGTGCATGTTTTTATACCAATTGTAAGTGTAATTTATCTTTTTTTAGGGCATTAATCAAGTCTATATTATATGTAGGACCTGAAAAACCGCAAAATCAACATCTAGGGGATTTCGTTAATCTTTTACACACACACAGAGGCTCCAGTTGGAAGAAAATTTATTTTTGCCAGACTATACATGTGCATGTTTTTATACCAATTGTAAGTGTAATTTATCTTTTTTTAGGGCATTAATCAAGTCTATATTATATGTAGGACCTGAAAAACCGCAACAAATAGTACAATGTTTGTAATCAGAGTGAGACATGTGGATATGGTAATAGGATATTTCTCTTTATTTCAGGGTCCTAACTGGTTTTTTCAACTTAGGAATACGATTCCTTCATCCTTGCCAAATCCATTATGAAGGAGATTCTGTAAAATCTTATTGTTTAAAGGGAGAGGTTATTTGGCGGGTTGTCTTCTAAAAAGTAGTGATGGCTCTTTTTTTTAAACTACTAAAATTAAATTGATGCATGAGGACACGTTTGTTTGGCTATTTGAGGAGGGAGATTAGATTAAGGGGTGGTTTGGGATGATTTAAATAAGTGTATTTTTTAATTTTTTATGAAATATGAGTTGAATTTGAAGTGATGTGGTAAAGAGATGATGTAACTTAAATAAGATGATGTAATTTAAATACAAAAATGTTTCAGATCCCCTTTCGCCTCACCCCCTTTGACCCCCTCTATTTTTTGATTGATTACTTTTTCTTTTGCTTTTTTTTTTCTTTATCCTCCAATCACCACCCACCACGTGTGTGTGAGAGTTGTGGGGGTGGTGATTGGAGGGGATCTCTATCAATGCTCAACTTAAATAGGATAGTGACTTTTTAACTTTTTGATTTTTTTAGAGTACCTCAAGCAAGACCTAATAGTCTATAGAGTTTACTTATAGAGTGTTTGGTAGGGCTATCAATTTCATAGTAGGTTTGGGATTAGAAATTGAGAGAATTAGTGAATTTTTAAATAATTTTTAAGTAAAATTTATATTTTAAAAAAATTATAATATTAAAAAAATACTAAAAGTTAAAAAATATTAATTTTATATATTAATACTATTTATAATATATTTTAATCCGATGGTGACAAACTCTCTTTATCTTACCTCTTCAATTTAATACAGCTACATTAATAATTTTTTCACTCAATTTTATTGTACTCTTAATCTTTTCAATCTTATGGAGCCAAACAAACATGGCAGAATTATTAGCACCACTTGGGCATGGTGATTAACACTAGAAGATATTTTACTAGGTAAGAACACCTTTCATTCAGTTTTTAGAAATTAATTTTTATGTTTATTATTTTTGTTTAATAAGTTATGTAAAATTTTAAACATACATAAAATTCATACAAAACATTTGACAAGTATGATGTAATAATGTCATTATTATGAATAAACTCATCTCTAGTGATATTTTGTTTTGAAATAAAAGATTCATAATGAATCATATCATTATATATAAATTTTTTATTTATATACTATTATTCATAAGTTGCAAATAAAAAAATGCACTAAACAATTTAGTACAAATTTTCATGATAAAAAATTTATAAGTATGCCACGAATCTAATGGGCTGTTCAATGTAAATTCTATTGAAAGTATGAAAATACCCTTGAAAATCATTATCCATTTACCCACAATTTTCTCTCATTTTGTTTCTCTCATCAAAGACAATCTTCTTTTTCCTTTCTGTTCTCAAATTTCTTACATATCTTTAATCCAAATACAATTTGAAGTTAAGAATGGCAACGGGCCGGGCCGGGACGGGGCCGTCCCCGATTCCCAAATGTAAAAAACTCTCCGTCCCAGCCCCCGCCCTCGATTCCTGACGGGGAACCAATCACTCCCATCCCCACCTCGCCCCGCCCCCTAACGGGGATCGGGTTTCCCTGACCCCGAAAAATCCCCGACAATACACATTAGACCAGATTCACTTGAACAATTACCAACTTGCAAATTAATTGAAGCAACAGATTAAGACACCACAGAGAAATAGGAAAACAAACAAAAAACACAGAGAAATACTAAATCAATCATTGATGTTAAACATTTTCATTGATATATGAAAAAGGAATCTAGCAATTTGCTACTTACAAGGGCAATATTCAAACTTGTCGGTTATTCAACTTGAATATATATATATATATATATCAATTTTTGCCTCTTTCTCTGAACATATACAACAATGAACCTTGGGAAGGAAGATGATGAGTGAAGATCGAAGTTCGAAGTCGCATAACAATATGTCGCAACCCCAAGTACTAACCCCAGCTTCCGAAGATGGAAATTCAACTTAGTAATAGCTTCGAAAAGGCATCGATCAGTCAGCTTGATCTGAGTTCACTTTTGCCAAGATCGGAAACCCTAACCACAACTTTCTCTCGTCGAAGACAGCAGGAGAGGAGGGAGATCAGCGGTGATGAGAGGAAGGAGAGGAAGACAACAGCGGGAGGGAGATCAGCGGTGATGGGAGGCTTAGAGAGAGATGAGAGGCGGAGGCGGTCAGTCTTTTGTGTGAGTGTGAGTTGTGTTTTAGGGTTTGGTTTATATATATATAGGCGTATAATAGTAATTTCACATCGAGGGAAACGGGGAAGGGATTGGGGACAGGCCAAGGTCGAGGATGGAGAATGTATTACCATCTTCGGCCTAAAATTTATCTGGGATTTATTTTCGAATACCATCTCGGCTCGTCGAGGGTATTTTTCAATAAAATACCGTTCTAATCCGGGTAAGGGGACAGGTCCCCATCAGGTCGGGTGCAAATTGCCATCCCTATGTGAAGTTTACGCTTTTGGGTCAAGTTCAAGCCATGTATAAGAACTAGTAAAAGCCCAATATTCAAATTCTCAGTAACAAGAGCAGTGTCAAAGAGTGCATGAATTGTGTAATGATGATTGAGGGTCCATCAAAATTGAGAGAGAGAGAGAGAGAGAGAGAGAGAGAGAGAGAGGATGAAGATGTAATAATTGAGGAATAATTATATGTACCTTACCACCTTAATTATTGAGTTTATTCCGAATGAGTTTATATAATTATGAATGAATTTATATAGGTTTCGTTTGAAAAGTTAGCTATTTTAATAAGTTATTTTAGTTTTTGACTATTTTAATAGATTAAAATATTTATATTTGAGATGATTAAATTTTTTTTAGTTGGATATGATATATATAAGGAAAAAAAATGAAATAATTATGGTTTTGATGTGATATTGTCTTATTAACTATTTTAGTTTATTTTGTTTTTTTATGAATTTTAGCCCAAAAAGTAAAAAAAAAAATTTGCCAAACAAGACTATAGTATGAAGTTTATATATAGAATAAATGTAAATCATAAAATAATAATTCGAGTAATTTTTGCATAATTAAGGTTAAATTTGCACTCAAAATTAAGGGAGGAAACATATATCAAAGAGAGCATGAATTGTGATGACAGAGTGCCCATCAAAACTCAGAGAGAGAAGGGGATGAAAGATGCAATAATTGAAGAGTTTCGACTGAAATATAACCGTTATAGACGCTCTGAGTGCTGGTGAAGCGCAGCTTGGCCATGGATGCTCCATTGAGGAAGAAGATCACTTGATACGAAGCATAAAAAAGATCAAGAGCATAGAAGGTATAGAAGATGCTACAATGGTGGAAAACCAGTCGGTCGGGGGTGAGAACCTGGGGGTTACTGTTAACCTAGTTGCTCCAGATGTTTCAATGACTGATAAAGGATTAACAGAGGTAACAAATAGCGATTTAAGCAACGAACATCGAGGAAAGCTGAACCAAGTGAAATCCTTCAAGCAAGCCCTTCTCAGATCAAGATTCAACGAAAATAGGAATGAAAAGAACTTCGATTGTGATGTGGAGGAAGTATTATCCGATGAAGACAAACCAGAGATAGCACAGGAACCAACAGATGATGGAGAGGCTATAGAAGATGATAATAGGGGTATTCCCAGAGTCAAGATCCCCCAAGCTCTGCTGAAAAAGATTAGGGAACCTTGGAAAAAGTGCTTGATCGTCAGACTACTGGGAAAGAAAATAGGATACAAGCTGTTCATGGCAAAAATGACTCGACTTTGGGGCCTTCAAGCTGATTTCGAAGCCCTAGATCTTGGAAATGGCTTTTTTATTATTAAATTCGATATGGTAAAAGATTACACCAAAGTCTACACTGGGGGGCCATGGATTGTTATGGACCATTATGTCACGGTAAGGAAATGGCAACAAGCTTTCAGATCAGATATTTCAGGAGAGGATACCATAGCTCTATGGGTGCGATTTCCGAATCTGCCTATAGAATACTATAATGAAAAAGTCCTTTACCATATAGCGAAGGTCCTAGGCATTCCATTAAAGATTGACATCAACACCGCTATGGCATCTAGAGGGAAATATGCACGCGTGTGCATTGAAATGGATCTGTGAAAGCCCCTTGTGTCTCAATTTGTTATTGGTAAGAATTTATATTTAGTGGAATATGAACATCTTCACTCTATGTGTTTTTCCTGTGGCAGGGTAGGACATGTGAAGAAGGTCTGCCAT